AAGTTCATTATTATTATTATAAAAAAATATCTTTGTTGTTTATCAGCTTGAAAATATGAGAACCTAACCTTTCAGTGAGGTAAAATTATTCAAAGAAAATAAATCCTTATAAACAAATATAAACATTTTTCTCAAAAACACAGGTGTCACAATTATTGGCACCCTTAGAAATTCCTATGAACAAAATCTAATAGACAAATATTCCCATTCATATTTGACCTTTTTTAAGACTTAAGGAACTCTTAAGTGGTCATCTATGACTTCCTATTTCACTGGAGTAAAAGCACAAGATGACATGCAGGCCAAACACCCTTAGTCATCCATCAACATGGGGAAGATCAGAGAATACAAAAATAAAATGAGACAAAAGGTTGTTGACCTTCATAAATCAGGCAACGACTATAAAAAAAAATCTTCACACCTGAAAATACCTATCTCCACTATTAGGGCAATAATTAAAAAGTTTCAAACAACTGGAGCTGTTGTGAACCTGCCTGGAAGTGGACGCAAGTGTATTTTGCCCCCATGCACAGTGAGGAAGACGGTTCGAGAGGTAAAACTTTCTCCAAGGATTAAAGTTCGACAGTTGCAGGAGTTGGTTGCATCCTGGGGTCACCAAGTCTCCACAACTACAATAAGACCCCATCTGGGTTGTGGTTGGATCTTCCAACATGACAATGGTCCAAAGCATATCTCCAAATCCACACTGAAATGGTTTCACCGACCACAAAATCAAGCTTTTTCAGTGGCCATCCCAGTACCCTTACGTAAAACCCATTGAATACCTGTGGGGTGAGCTTAAGAGGAGAGTCCACAAGCAAGGACCAAGGACTATGAAGGATCTGGAGAGATTTTGTATGGAGGAATTGTCTCAGATCCCTTTATACAGTATGTGTTCTCCCACCTCATCCAGCATTATAAGAGAAGACTCAGTGCTGTTAGCTTGGCAAAGGAAGGGTGCACAAAGTACTAAATGCAGGGGTGCCAATAATTGTGACACCTCTGTCTTTGAGAAAAATGTCGGTTTTATAAGGATTTTTTTTCTCAAAATAATTTTGCCTAACTGAAAGATTAGATTTCTCTCATATTTTCAGTGTAAGATCAAGCTGATAAACAACAAAGACATTCTTTCATAGCCTTTTTTGCTCATCTTTACCAATAATTCTGGAGGGCACTGTACCTATTTAACTTAAGGATAGTTTGAACCATGAAGATATACAAATCACAAGCAGAGTAAACATAATTGACTTCATTGATCAACAGGCCATTAGAAGTCAAAATGGCTAAAAGAGGATAAGCTCAAGATTTTTATTCCCCAAACTCATGAATAACACCCACAATTAAGATTTTTGTACAGTGGCACACATTTCAATGCTGAGTACACTGCTTGCATATACTTCAATATGTCAGAATATTGTGGTTACATTCCTCAATATTAAAAATATTTGTTATGAATAAAGCACAAAAAAGGCACTTTGGATCTTGAACTTTCTAACGATCAAAACTCTGCCAGGTAAATAACTTATTCATACTCATTCATCAGTATTAATACTAAGAGATATATCAGCAGGAAGTATGACTGAGCATCATTTAATACATTAATCTGTAGAATGACAAGAAGATGCAAGAAATAGCAAAAATAAAATAGATTTTCTGGATTTACGTCTGCCAGGTTTTTAGACAACTGCTTAGAGAACTACAATTATCCGTTCAAAATTAAATAATTAGTGAGTAAGTTAAAAAACAATTACCAAGGAAATAAAACAGTAACACAGTAACACTCCAGTACCCTACATGGTTTTCTGCCCTGGCAGTCTGGCGCCATCTACAGATCTTTCAATTCACTTCATCTGCAAATTAGTTTCATGACTTCCTTTAGTTTTCACCTTATAGGGTGCATTATAAATCCAGGGTTGTCTATCACATAAAGTATATTATGTCCCAGTGTACTGGCAAAAAGTTGCTGCTCTGAAAAGATTTTAGAGATAAATTCATTAAAAAATAATACTAAGACACATCTACTGTGTGCTTGATTCTGTAAATCTAAATTGTCTGGTATATAATAATAGAATAAGAGTGTGTATCAGATATCCTCTTAACAATACTTTGCAATCATACTTTGTAGCCTTGAGAAAATTACTGGGGACATTCTAGAAAAACTAGAAAATGTGTGGATGTATTTATGTAAATAGTAAATAGATAATGTTGTGAAAGTCCAAAAGGTATTAATAAAAAATAAATTCTTATGGAGTCCAATGAAACTTTTTGACATATGACATGCAGTAACAACACAGATGTTTGCAGTATAAATGAGATTTTTCTGATGTCAGCTTGCTTTTTGAGGGCAATATCTTGGCACTCCATATACACAGAATGCCTCTCAACAATACTGATTTATAATATAATCTCTCTGATGAGGTGATGGTCTGTGCATGAGTAAATGTATGTGCCAGATAAACCTGCACTAGGAAAGGTATGTAAAGCAAATAACATGGTACATACAATATAAGGAGGTTTTGACCTATACAGACCGCTTAAATAGACAATAAAATTTGTATTGCACAAATATAAAAATATCAATATTTATATAACTTGGAAAATATTCACACATATCACGTTCATAAGAAATATGCTTAAATTTTAAAATACTGTATACACTGCCTATATAGGCCAAATATTGTATAGAATCCAGAGGATATTATACAAATAAATGTAGTACAACAAAGGAAACAAGTGCATTTGTGTGTATTCTTCTTAATAAAACAATAAAACGATTCATTTCTAACTACTTCAACATCTAAATATGATATAAACTCATGACATACAATTTACTTATTTCCAATTTTGGTAAATTCCCCACACTAGGTCCTACAATAACATGCATACTGTAGTTATAATAATGTGTATCATGATGCAGTTTGCAGTAGCATTTTCTGCAGTGCCTACTATTCTTGATCTTTTAAAAAATGCTGCATTATTTACAGGTATTAGTGTATTGTCATATTAGTGTCAAATATAGCATCAGTACATGTAGAAAGTTCAAAGAGTATATACAGTATACTCAAAGTGCTATTCAATGTAGAGACAATAATCATAATATGAATGGCAATCAATAATGTTTTGCCGTTCAATTAGAGTTTGATTTTTTTTTTCTTTAATTTTGTCTACCCTTTTCCAAGTTTCAGACACATTTAGTACACCACAATAAGAAACAGGTGAGCTGAAGTGATCCAAATCACCAAAACTCAGCAAGACATACTTGTTCACACTCCACTGAATCTGCTCAGAAAAAAAGGGCAACAGCTTATGGATAAGAATGCATAAGAATTCACAAAGCACTTCTAATATGAGTTTAAAATAAAATGCCTAAGGAAAAACAAAATAAGTTGTGTAAATGTCATCACAATTTGATGTATAACTGAATTACAGATGTTTATGATAACGTAGAACACCCCTTAATATACTGTACCAATCCTTTTCAAAATAGAGGTGGTTTGAAACATTTCTCCATTAATAAACAAACAAACAGCAACCAAACAGAGGATGGTGTTCACAGGAAAAGGGAAAGAATATTTATGTTTACAAGAGTACAAAAACACTCAAATAAATTATAGAAAATGCAGGAAGAAAAGAACATTTATAGGAAAAACTGTTGCAGTGATAATTACTAGATTACAGGCTAGACAATTACTGACTGCCTAATTAAACATTGATGTCTCAGAATCTTTGAATGCCGATTGATAGGACTCGATCTATGACTTTTTGAGATCTGATATACTTTATATCATGGAGAGCAGAAGTGCAAATGTATCCGGCATTTGGGAAAAAATACATCTGAATCGTCCTTCCCTATCTGCTCATCCTGCAATCAGGTCGATTAAAGCCACATAAAAAGGATTGTCTGTTGCTGTGGTATGCAGGTTAGAAAGGACACAGACAAGTCAGCCAGAAGAAAAGAGACAGTATGGAAGATGAGCAGGTTGAAAGGGACTGAGGAGATTTCAGTACCATCCATCCAGGATTGAAGATGATGAAAGCTGGAAAATGGTACTGAGTGAGAGAAGAGACTGTGCCAGCCCAACTAGAGACTCCCCAGCTGGAAGGGACATCTGGGCTATTGTTAAGCAGGGCTGGCTCTCTCTTTTCTCTCACTCAAACTCACTTCCCAGCTTTTCTGTCTTCATCTCCCCAGTGATGATGCAGAATGTTACATGCAGGTAGCAGAAACATAAACAGAGTGAAAACAGGAAACACTGAACTTAAAGAAGCTAAGAAAAGACCTACAGTATACTCCATGGTCATGTTAACAGATCATTTATATCTTCTAGACATTGTGAGGAAGAAAATCTGCAAACAGAAAGTTAAAATCAAAAGATCTAATAATAAAATAGTAAAATGCACTAGTAAAACTTACTTTAGAATATTGTATACAATGTGAAACCTCCACACAAACGAGAGGACACACAACAAGAAGACAGATTGGAAAGTATGAGGTACAGTAGTGCATTTTAAGCTGGAGGCACATTTTTATACAATTGGTTGTTGGAGTCAGGAAATTCAGCCAAGATGTTAAATCTGATACCCTGGCTTCTTTCAAGAAACAACTAGATGATATCCAGATCACGTAGATACTAGTAACCTAAAGATCTAGATGGTACACATAGTCTCTGAAAGGTTTGAACGTCATGTAACAGGCATCACTGCAACACAGACACATACTGTAAACTTGTTTTGTAGTACCACAAAGAACATCTGTTATGTGTTGATATCATCTTTAAAAAATACAGAAAAAACAAATGTAGCAGTGATGAAAGTCAAGATAGAAATCATGGGCAATCTTGTAAGGTTTACGGGGTGGAAAATAAATGGGTTGAGCTTGGAAGAGCTGCATCGATTCCTGCAGTGACCCAAACCTAAATTGTTTACAATTACTCCAGTGAGCAACTGGTGTTAAGGGGTCTATAGGACCAGACAGATGAATCTCTCACCAAAGTGTTTACCTGTAATAACAACTCCTTTTCCACTACCTCCTCAGTCTTTGTAATCAGTCGCTTCTGTAAAGTGTGAATCTTCTGGATCAGCTCGTAGGTGCTTGGGTCGCTTGCCTGAGGAAAGTCATTTAAAAGTGTTAATATAGCCAAGGGATAGAAAACCTAATCCCTAACCCTCTAAAGCGTTGACAGTAATTTGCAGTTCTTTAGTACACTAGCAGACCAACTACTGATGGCTCAAAAAGAGACTGCAAAGACAAAAAATAGGTCTGATTAATAAAATAGCTTATTATACTGGCATGTACCCAAGACATTATTATTACCCAGTTATTATTTCATTGTAGAGTTGCAACTCCAATACAAATCTTCTATACAAATTCAGCCCCCTTCGGTTAACAATTGTATTCTGTACCTTAGCAAATGGAGATTTTACTGAATGTTTTGGAGGAGGACAAGCCCCAGTTCCTGCCAATCACTGTTCTGGTGTATAAGGGACTGGGACTCAAGATAACTACTACCCAGTATTTGTCGTACTAACACTCCTCCATCACCAATGTAGCAACCTCTTGGTTTATTGATGGTAGGGATGTGGATTCCAACTTTCTCGTCCATATACAGTAGTCAGTTGCGTGATCCTCATAGCTAGTGGGTTAAAATCAAAATATCACTACACTTTCCAAAACTGCATTATAAAGTGTTTTCTGTATCTGTATTTTTTATGTCTTTGTATTGAGTTGATTGATATTTTTCTGTATAAAAATAAACTATTGAAGGACACAGGTAAGATTTCTAAAATACTATTTCAACAATTGTTTTCCTTAAGAAAGGCGATTTTTCAGTGTCCAAATCTCCAGACAGGTACATAAACTTTACAAAACATACTTCTAACTTTCTCCATCGATGGACATTCATAGGGTTTTCCAGTTCTTCCTCTAAAGCCCTGCACCTGGTCCGTTCTTTCAGGAGTTCCCTTTGCATGTGATAAACCTCTCGTCTGTAACAAAACCATCCAAATTAAAGAGAGAAAAGACAAAGTCCTGTAAATAGCACTGTGACTCTTAGAAAATCATTGACAGCTTAATTTTACCTTGTGCTGTTTAAAAGCTATTTTGTATTTTTTGTTTCCCTTTACATTGAACCATTTTTTATATAAATTCAGACATGCTATCTGTTTTTATGGATTATATGAAAACAGTTATGACTCACAGGATACAACAGTAACAATATCTCAGTTACTGCATTCAAAATATCCTCCATTAAAAAAAAAAACAGTTAATCTGAATTCTTCTGTTCTGGTACAGTATGTCACTTGAAACTAGTTGCTCTGAACTTGTTGATAGATTGATCTTTTCTAGTCCAAAGGAAAACACTGTCATTTAAGCTCAGATTGCAGGGGGAAAAATGCTTCCATCTTTGGGTTTAAATGAAATGTGAAACAGTGAGTAAGTCAAAGAAATACTGTAACAGTGAAAGTAGAAACAAAATATCTTTTTAAAATATGTTTTCTGCAAGTTACCCATCAACGTTTGATAGAATACTAGATGATACTTTGACAGACTATCCAAGAATCCTATTAATCCAATTTGCGTTTGAGTGATAGGTTGGTTTGGCCTGCTACTTTGCAAACTTGATTCTAAAATAAACAACTATAAAGCTCTTATTAACATCATGACTTGGCAATGCTTGGAAAAGCACAGAACACGATGCTTTTCAAAAACTAGCTTGAAGCGTGCAAACACATTTACCCCATAAAACAGAATGAAAGCAGAAAACAAACTGGAGAACCAAACAAGAGAAAGAACTGGTTTATGATTCACTACAAGGTCTCCTAAATGAAGTGAATACAGTAGCTTAATATCATTTAAAAGCTACCTTGCAAATATTATCTTTTTCCAAAGTTATCTTTAAGTTGTTGTATGGTTGCAGTCATCTTTTTAATACTTAATAATTTTACCACTTAGTAAATAGGAAAATAAAACAAAATTGGAGGAACATAATTCTTTAGGTTCAGTGTACAATTTTTTTACATTCTTGTCCTTGGTTCAAAACAAAGAATAGAATCAATGGTTATGGTACATGGCTACTTAAACGGTTACTATAAAAATAAAAAAATATTCAATATTAATACACCTAAGTATAGTCTTGCTATATGCATAAACAACACAACTTATTCTGACACAGTAAGAGCTGTCTGTAATGATGTGAAGCATCGCAAAAATACTATATTCTGTATATTCTATATTCTGCAAGTCACATGACTTTACGTCCATAAAATACTTCTATCATGAAATTGTGAAATTGCACCTGTAGAGGGGTCTTAGTAAATATCCACTAAACACATCTGTTATGCAACACACAACAGTAGTTTTAATATATCTTAATCTTAATATCTTTATGAAAAGATTACATTTCATATGTGTCAGCAATAATTCCTTGATGGTTTAAGACCAATGTCAAAATGCAGATGTTATTGTTCATTAAATTGAAAATACATTTTTAAAATATACTAACTGGTGTTATAGTTAAACTTGTGCAGATGCATATAATAAATTATTTTTTTTAGTCTGAGATTTACAAGTACAATTAAATCTCGTCTGCTAAAACCTTTGTCATGTAACACGCTAGTATCACCTGCACTCGTCTTGAAAAGGTCCATCATTTTCTCACACTTAAAAAAGCATAAAATATCACCTGGGCATGTGGAATCATGGTATTATTTCAGTGTAAGGTTGTTTGGTTCAAGGTTTAGAAAGGTTCTATAAAAATCGTCACCTCATTGGTGATGACTGCATTCCTTTTCAGGAACTAAGGTTGTGAAAATAACCCATCATATGTACTGTATATAGTGACATCAATAATTAACCATCAGCAAGCAATGCAAACACTAATCACATTCATTTTATATAAAAATATAGTGTAAAACCTACTGATACTGTTTTTGTATCTCCTGTATATAAAAGCAAATTTCCGTATGTAAAGCTAATAGTTCTAATTGTTTCTTTGAATTCTGTGAGTTAAATACCAAACCTACAGCTTACCAAAATGGTTAACACAGTGCTGTCAAAATGTTTGATATTTGATGTGAATTTCATTTGCTTATACTCTTTTTTAAAGACAGATTTAAACAGACAACAGTTCTCTAACACACTATTCTATTAAACAAAGGAAAAATGTTTCTTAAATGAAAATCTCTTAGAAGTTTCCACTTGTACAGATTTTGTTATTAGCTTTTTTCTTTTAAAGGTTTATGCATTAAAATTCAGTGGCAGTAAAGAAGCCGATGCAAGCAAGGATTGATTCATTCATGATGGCAGGGTTGATATCCCTGCCTTAAAGTTTAATCAACACCTTCAGCCAGCCCAGACAAGATCAGCTCATTCAGCCTTTTCAATTTCCATGCTTCTGCTCTGGTTTTGTGTGCTGCTAAAACACTGCCATTTTTAAAATTGTCCCAAACCTTTCTGAACTTCCACAACCAGAGAAAAAAACACCCAACTGCCAGTTCTTATATAGTCCCTTATTACAGAAAGGAAAACATCAATTAGATCCATGTGAAGGCTTTTAAAACCCTAGCAGAGCAAATAAAATGAGATTTAAGTTATATCAAAATGCTGGAACTTGGTCAGGGAAAAATTAAAGAAAAAGCCATGTTTCTCAGACAGAGGCTTAGAATACAAGCAATACAAATCCTGAAAACTGACATCAGCAGGGTGAAAGTTTTCTGTACTTTGAAGATCAAACATCAGAATGTGTCGAAATAATATGTCTACTAAAAAGCAGATGGAAGGAAGCTTCAAAAAGAGTGCAGTGTTAGTAAACCAATGCAAATCAAGGAGAGTAAGAAAGTAATCCATAAATTGTGAAATAAATTCTGACCACAGTCATACTACTGATAATACAGACTAAACAGAGATTTACCTATCTTTCACAAAACATTTCAATGCTTCCAAGACACAGATAACTTGCAGGAACTTAATAAGCAGCTATTCAAAATGACATACTGTATATACTGTACATTCTGTGTGGCCCAACTCTGATTGCTAGAGGACAATATTATAATACATACTGTAGTATAAACAGTAGTAATAGCGATATATCAGGCAGCTAACTAATACTTATTAAAGCCATTTTAAAATTACTGTAATTTAAAATTAATGTGCTAGGAAGCATAGGAAACAGTTTTAGAAACTGCAAAAGCAGCTTTCAATCACCAGTGCAGGTTGGTATTAACATACCATTTTTGAACAAACATACAGTATAAACAGCGTAGTCTAAAACTGTAGTAGAAGGGCATTTGAAAACACTCACTTATTTGAAGATGTTTAGGCAAGGTTTTATGCGGTTTGCAAAGAATGGAAAAATGGCTTTAGGGCTTTTACTTAAAAATGTGCATTTGGATGAGACAGATGAACAAAGATTGTTGAGAAATATTTGCACCAGTTTAAAAATCCCCATAAGATACTGAAGACAAAAATGATAAAGTGCTTGATAAGTCCAATTGTGTGCGTGTGTCTTGCCTGTGGTAAAAATTAGATGATGTATCTCAAAGGTAAGCAAAAAATACACACATAACGCCATGAAACTTAGAATAAACCGAAAAAATATCGACTTTCATATTGCTGTATTACCCATACCCAATTTACTTAAGGTCACACCATCCTGCGCAACATTAAAATTAATAAGATTATCAAGTACTTGGTATTTCAATTCCAAAATGTATGTCAGAGGCCACCATAAATATTTAATTCCAGTTGTGATTCATTAAAAGGGAAAATCCTCAGATTTACCTTTTCAGGACTAACTTCAAATACATTTTGAGAAATTCAGTCACTCCAGATTGTTTTACGACTTAAAATATAATGACTATTTGTAATGTACAGTACTGTGTTTGTTTTTTCTGTTTCGTTTGATCAAAGTTTTGGTTTCTGAGTCTGTAATTAGACAAAATGAACATTAACTTGAATGGTTTTAAAAAATATACATATATCAGCTGTTTATAAAAACAGGTTTTTAAATTTGTAACACAATCTTTAGCTTTGTTCACTCAAACCAAGCCATGTCTGTTACACCAGGGTGGGAAGTCGCTGCCCTCGGTTGTCACAGGAGCCCACAACATTCCCTAGAGTGTCCGCATTCATTCCTATGTCATCTGAACACGATCAAGTAATCTACTGTATCAGTGTCCCATCATCCAATTATTCTTCTATTTTAATTCTCCCTATTTAAAACCTGTTATGCCACCGGAACTGTGCTCTGACACTGAGCTACCCCCAACAGCAATATAGCTCTCTCTGAGATCAAAGAGATGCTGCAGCCCGAAACTTGAACCCTGAAAACCTGAAACTTGCAAACCTGAACCGTGTTGATTCAGCGGTGTCAATCTACATTGTTCACCATTTAAACACTCTGACTCCCGTCCACCATTGTTCATCACCATCTCTGTTTCCTTTCCATTTGTCTCTGGCAAGTCTGAGCTCCTATAACTTTGCTTTTCTCCTCCAGCAACTGAAAATGACCCAGTGCCTGCCTTTGGATTCCTGCCTGCCAGTTCCTTGTGGCTGCCAGCTTCAGCCAGCCGCAGGATAACAATATCCCTGACAAATATTAAATGTTCACAAATGTAAAAAGGTAATGAACATTACATAAAAATGAAGTACTGTAGTTCAGGTGGGTAGCTGCGTCAGCATGCGTAAGCTGCAAAGGAACAAATAATAGGTTTATTCCATGCTGAAAAAAAAGAAGAAAGAAAACACAACGTTTCGGCCGTGGAGCCTTCCCCTCATGGCCGAAATGTTGTTTTCTTTCTTCTTTTTTTCAGCATGGAATAAACCTATTACTTGTTCCATTACATAAAAATTACATGTTCACAATCAATGCAACTTAAAAAATAACTACATTACTTTTTAAAAATTATGTAGATCTAACTATTTGTAAAATATTTTATCTGTTCTGAAAACCTCATGAAGCCATGTATATTCCTGTACATTAGTGTCCAAAATCACAGACTGTAGAACCAGGTATATGGACAATAACAACTAATGTTGTTTATCTAGGATTATTAGGAGCTGTAGGGAGATCTAAATTTTAAAAAGCAATGTTACTAAAACTATTTTATTGCCACTTTAATTCTGGATAACTTTCTATAGAGATTATACCAAAATCTATTACAGCGTAATTCCATTGCCTTCTTATCTTGAAGCATAATTTCCTTAATGTTAAATTAAAAAAAATGACCAAACTTGCTCAAAACTTCCATTTTAAATTCATCTTTTTGTATTTTTCAATTTCATGCTCCCCATTTTAATTTGCAGGGTTACACCAGAATATGAACTTATCACATAACATTTTAACAAGATTAAATTCAGACCATAAATTTAGTTCCCAATCGTAAAATCTGCACGATATCAAAAAAGCCTCAGTGGCTGAGTTTTCATTTGATGTGATAACCATTTTTTTCTGTATGTGTAAAGCAGAGATTGATATGGACTTCACTTTTGCTCAATGCATATTTACCTAGGAGACTATTTTGTATCTCCTAGAAATATCATTTGAAATAATCTGTAACAAAAAGGTCAACCAATTAAATTTGAAATGCAAAGTTCATGCTAATTCTCCTTTTAAGGGAAGGGAAAAAATGATTTCTGCAGTTTGTGTACCAAAGGAAGAAGAGAATGTGCTTTTGCTTTGACATGTCTGCTTTTAACAAATATCTATGAACACATTAACCAAATATAATGCAGCATTTTAATGGCATACCCAATCTATCATGTGCTAAAACTAATGCAAAAGTAGGTCATTGTGGCTTAGATTTAAGACTCTGAGCAAAAGGAATATGCTAATTTATATCAGAACTGAATAATTGGTTATGTAGAAAAGAGTATTTTTTTAAAAAATAAAAAGCAGTGTGACTGAAGTACACAGACATATTCTTCATGCCCTCTTCCCTCATGTGTGCTTTATTTCCCTCACAACACAATAATGCTGCTTTGGTTTTTTGCTCAACCAGACTATTTTTTGGTAATTCTGTAGTAAAGACAGGAGAACTGCATACATTTAACTGTTGTTAAATCCAGGATTTACAGGTACAAGAAATGTGTTAAATGTGCTAAACTGCAATGTTTGTTGATTTAGTTATTCTGTAGCACGCACTAAGAAAAATCAAAAAGCCTTTTGTTAAAATGACATGTAAGATGGAAAATTAAATTTAGTTAAAAAAAAGCATTTTGAAAGATTAACAATGCCTTTCGCCTTGAGAACATTTTCTGTACATTTATATCAGTAAAGACACTTGTATTCAGGTTTTTTTTCATTGTGTTAGCAGTGAACTAAGAAAATACACAGTGCCCAAGCCACAACATTAAGTCTCCAGTGAGACTTCACTACTCTCTAAAATGAGTCATTCCAGGATAGTGCTGTACAACATCTATTAGTTAAAGCACAGTTGAGCTGTTGGCTAAAAATACACTATACTGGAAGAGTAGGGTTGGTGACCTTTAGTAATTGCTTCAACTTATTGGACAGATACCTGCTAAGAAAAGCCTTGACCACACAGAAAAACTTTACCATAAAATTCCAAATTAGAGAGAAAATCTGAATGGGTCCCAGGCAAAATAGAACCATACATTTTGGATTATGAGAACCAAATGTTTTGTGTATTTTTTTCAAATTAATATTTCGGTAATTATCTGAACAACAGCAGTTATAAAATAGTGTTCTCCAAATGTATCATTCTGCTGCTGCCACCATCACCAATAAAGATGAGTCAGCCACCTAATTTACAGAACATTTTGTATGCTGAAGTAGAAGAAAATATTTATTTACTTATTGAATAGCACTTCACCATGTACAGTAGCATGACAATAACCCAGAATGTAAGTCCAATGAAAGTGAACAGCTCATCAGGCGAAAACTGAAAATCTTAGAAAATAAATCTCCAGATTTAAATTTAATTGATCATGCATTTTACTTGTTAAATAAAAAAACATAAAGGCAGGAAACAATATGAATAGGGAAGTATTCAAAGTGACTTTAGAAAATAATCTCAAAGAATTAAAGAATTCTTTATGAGTTCAATGGGTCACAAACTTCATTTATATCCTCAAAGCAAAACTGTAAGACAAAGACTAATACTAATAATAATTAGCTGCAGTTATTTCAAGTGCACAGACTAGAAAGACAAAAGGAAAACATAATGTTACCAATGTTTTTTTTTTCCATTCTCAATATCAGGTGTTTATGGAATGGTAATTCATTTACATTTATAAAAGATTTTTAACAAAGAAATTGAGTAGAAAAAAATAATATGCTCTTCTATGCAGAATGAAAAACTGGACATTTTCTTATATGTCTTATATGTCTATATTATATGATTATGCTCTATTTGTGTTCTATGCACAAAAGTATTGCTCAAGGTAGTAGTGTTGACTCTGGTCTAGGGTTACCCTAAAATAATTAAGAATGAACAAATATCATTTGCAGATAGAACTATATGTGGGTCACATTTGGTGCATTGTTGCTCAGTAAGACAGATGGCTTATGAAAATATGAAATCTTTAGAGTTGGAACAATCAATGTAAAATTTGAAAATTGTATGAGGGATGAAGAGCTGTTACCTAAGATCTTCCACGTTGGCTACGGTCTTGGCCAAGATGCCCTTCTCACGTCTCAGCTTCTTAATCTCCATCTTGAGTAGCCGGATGTCTTCAACCCTTTGGTTATACTGGATCTCTCCCTTGTTCAGCATTGACTGCTGGATCTTAATCTTCTCATACAAGAGTGCCAGTTCATCATTGCGCCGCACTAGCTGCGTGCCCAGAATATCACGCTCGCTGATTACCTAAACAAAAAAGAGTGTTCCACACTTCTGAAACCTGCTTTACCCTTTAAAATATAATGTGACAACATAAACCAGCTCTGCTTCAGTATTACACACAGTAGTTACCACTTTAATATTATAAATCACTATTCTCATGGTGCACCTTATGAATTGACCTAGAATTATTTTTGGTACCTATTTTCAGCTCTCTGGAGATCTGAGAAAATGTGTAGTAAAATTACAAACATTTTTAATTTCTGTGATGACTTTACTGTACAGTATATGTCTTAAATGTAATATTACAATACATTGTGGCCATTCAACACTATGAGAAAAGTCAAGAAATATGCCATTAAGAACAATGCAGGAACCAAACAAATGCATGAGAAATTAAAAACTTTGACACATTATGAAAGAAAACTGACATTTGACTAAAACAAAGCGTTACTAAGTGAACAGAAAGGTGCTCTACTCCATTTTAGCACAGAGTACAGCTGTAAACCACTGAAGGATCACTTCATCTTATCAAATCCTGGATGTCGAGCACATTTTAAAAAAGACCACTTCAATTGTTTTTGTACCATTTAAGAGGCCAGTAGCTTCTGCTTCAACTACAGACAGGCTTGCCCCATGGGTTTAATGAACCTGGATTCCGACCAAGCTGTGCCCTTTTATCCTACTGCCAACAATGAGCTCATTGAAGCAGGAACCCTTTCCCTACCTGATCCAATTCCTTCTTCTGTCGGAGCCTTTCAGCATCAGCATCAGCTATGATCTTGAGCAGCTTTCTCTCTTCTGCCTCCTGATTGTCAATGAACTGCTTTGTCTCCTGAGCCTGCTGTTTCATCTTTTGCAGTTCAGCCTGTGGAAAGGGAGCATGTTTTGGTCTGTGTGTGCAAGTATAGTGAAAAAGGACTGCATTTGTTTTTTTTGCATCTTGACATTGCTGATAGACAAACCTCTTTTGGTATGAGTAAATAGTAACAGAGAACATCATTTGGCATTCCTTGTTCATTCTCTTGACCTCCTCTTATTTGAGAAGATTTGTTTAAAAGCTTGGTGAAAAGTGTCAAACTGATAAGAGACAGAGGCTAAAGTTCTTAATCTATACACAGGTCAGGTACAGGCGAGCTGGCTTCACTCCCAGAATACCCCAGAATGCTAAACCTTTGTAAGTTTGTTGACATTTTAGCAAAATGAACTCATGAATTCATTAGTTCATAAATAGTAGGTTTATGCACAAAGCGTAGGACCTTCATTTAATGGTAATGGGTGCATTTAGTGAAGAGTATAATGTAAATATGCTAGTATTTCCCATAGGTCTTCATTACTAAGCAGAACTATTTATAACTGCTGTTTAATTTTGTTATAAAAATATAACACAAACTTGGCTCAACAGTGTGCTTTGTCATGCTAATGGTACGCTGGAAACCCATAAGCCTTCATTCAATTCACTATTCAGATGCTGTATTAAAGGTTGAAAGAGAATTTGTATGAAATTCCACATTTTCTCATCTCCCAGCAAGGAGGCAGCCAACAAACAGCCAAAAGGCAACCTTCTGCAACTGTTAGTCTCTAACTCCGATCCCTTAATGTCAAGGATTGTTTTAAATAGTGCTGCATTTGTTTTAAGAAAGTTCTTATTAATTCAATAACAAACCTTTGGAGACAGGAGACGAAGCATGTAATAAGATTTCTTCAGAATCAATGCGGGCTTGTTACTGCCTAATAATCAGCCAAACCTCTATTGTAAGAGCCCATAGGAACCAATTGCTATAGTTCTTACTATCCATGACCATGTTTTGTATGATTGGAGGTTTTATACCATTCATTAAAATGCTAATCAGTCCTTGGGAAACCAAGTAATTGTTTTCTTCTACAGAACGGAAGGAGTGGGAAAGGAGTGGAAAGGAGAAGGCGGTTCTAAGCAGTTTGTGAATTAATGGATGTTATTTCTACATATTCTACAAGCATCTACATCGTACTACACAAAACACAAAAAGAAAACAAACAGGGCCGGGAAAAATGACATACAAAAAGGGGTTGGCCTAATAATTAAAACATACAAATTGAATTGAGTTTTTAAAATACACTGTACATTATGTTATCTCATCTCACAACGTAAATTTCATTCAGAATATAACACTAGCATTTTAATTTTCAGAAGTATTGACTTAATATTGCAGAGAAAGCTGAGTAAAAAATACATATGAAAGATTTACTTCTGTACACAGCAAATAATTGTTTTCCTATCAAGAAAAAAAGATACCATTCAGCCCACAGAGTTTTTATTCAACCCTGTGGATAGTCATGAGCAAAGGTAAAAGTGTGACCTTAGCGTTTACTTTAAGTATATACTGTATTCTAAAAAGACACTGCTGTCACGTCTGTCCCTTACTCATGCATTAGTTACATGTAAATACATGTAATTTATACATATAAAATATATACAGTACTCTCTTAAAATGAAAGTTTGTGATATTTGAAAGTACTCTTTTTACTTTTTATATATAAAATATATACAGTACTCTCTTAAAATGAAAGTTTGTGATATTTGAAAGTATTCTGCTGTAACATGTTTGATATTATGCTGCTCCATAAAAATGTATTTCCTACAGTTTTTTGTTTAATATGTCAGCCTACAAATCAGAAGCATAGAAGAAGAATAGAAGTATTACTTTTTGCACATTCAAGAACCAGCTTACATTATACTGTACATCTTAAATTATTTTTGTGATTAGAACAAATGTTTTGTTTTCCCCAGTATATTCAGTTTCACATTTTCAGTTTTTTACAAGAAGAATAGGCACAAAATTATGCCAAAGCTGGTGAAGACTTATACAAGAAGACTCATGAATGTAATATGTGCCAAAGGTCCCTCTACCAAATATTGACTCAAGGGAGGCAAATTCATAAGCAAACAGTTTTTTTCTGTTTTATATTTTTAATTAATTAAAGAGGATCTGCAAAATGTTGTTTTCAATTTTACATTAAAGAGTGTTTTGTATCAATGGCAAAAAATTAAATGCATTATGATTCTAATTGTCACGGGAGCCAGTTCTGACTCCTGTGGAGTGCGTTGTTGAAGACTCTATGCAGGACGGTATAATCTGGAAAAGGACATCGGGGAAGATACAGCAGGCTTAGTACAGTTTGACAGACAGGGGGTGGTGACTGTAGTGATCAGGTGCACGGGGGGAAATGCAGAAGCAACGAAGTCCAGGGAAGTCCAGGGAAGTCCAAAACGGGAACAGTCCGTAATCCAAAGGCTGGGAGATCCATCCAAGACAAATACACTTAAAATCCCCGGGAAGCAGAACCCAGACCAGGATCACAAAGAACTAAAAGCATAATGGGACCAAGCGCTCCAAGCCCCGGACCCAGATGGTCAGGACGCCAGAGAATATGGCCTGCACTCAAGCTACACGCGAGCCCGGGGAATAGGCAAGCCTTGTGGCGTCCATCTTCCAATACTGGACCAGGAACTGCAGAGACGCTAGGCTTTTAACCAAAGTACAAACAAGACACACCACTAAATAATAAAAACTAATCATAACAGAAAAGGGAAGGAGCGTCCTCTAGAGGAGGGATGTGGAACGTAACACCAATAAAATGTGAAAAAGTCCAAGGGGGTGAATACTTTTGATAGCCACTGTAAGACTCAGAAGCCACTCTGTCCTGCAAAGGAAGCTATAGTCTCACAATGAAAGAATAATTGTATCATATACTGTATTTCTGTTTCTATGACACCTACTGAATAAAAGAGTTGAATGCAGAATCATCTAATCAGTTTCATACTGTATATCTCCCTTGTGTCTCCACATGTATCATCTCTTCAGGTGTGTGTTCACTTTTAAGTGGCACAATATAAAAAAACAACAAGACTGAAAGGTTGGCTTAGGATAGAAAACATATTAATAAGGATATTTCAGGATAAAAATGTGCACTACTGTAGACACATTCACCTCTGCTGCATTAATCTTTTGTTAACACAGGAAACAGTGTGCCTTGCCAAGAATAGGAAACAAATAGAAAAAAGGCACTATTCAGTTTATTACGTATTTTATTCCATACAGTGCTATATTTTGGGGTTTTATCAATTCTGACAGATACATCCTTACTGAAAATTCAACATGGCAAGGATTTACAGTTTAGAAAGCACAGAATAAACATGGGGACAATTACTATGCAATAACTTTTTTTTAAATGATAATGCACCTCATAAATATGTTTCCAGAATGTGAAACTGTACAACTTAAACAGTAAGGGACTCCTACATAGTGTACAGGTAAGCAATTTACCATGCGATGTTTCACTTAGAGTGCTTTAAAAAATCTCCTTCAGTAGTATCAACTTGTTTTTGCAGGAAAGCACAGTGGTCCGGAGGTTAACCCAGGCACAAGGCAGTGATACTTTACACTGCAAATAGAGTAATATGTTTTCAGGATAATTAGAGAATGAGAAAAGTCCTCTTTATGATTTTTCACATAAAAAGATAATTTTCATACAGAAAGAATGGTTCATACTGAAAATACAGTATATTGTAAATTTGCACTTAGTGTACATGATAAAGTCCAAAATTAGATATAAGTGCATTACTAATCAGACATTACATTACATAACCAACGTAAAAGTCACAGACAATACGTATGCACAGGTAGGTAAATAAGATGTGAAGTATCTATTTTATGACTTGCATCCAGGAATAAAAAAGAAGCTTTCATGTATGACTGATTTGGAAATAATAGACAAGTCTTTGCAGCAATCAGTGAAAATGCAGCAACTCTTGATATGAGACAGGAGGCTTCCAGGGCACAAAACTCTGTGACTAATATCACATCAACCTGTGGGGCAACCTCACTGTGGAATAATTGAGTAGGTGCAGCAGTGAAGCGTTCAAAGATGCCATCTGAATGATAGTGGATGATGCTAAAGCACTCTAACAGAATGGAGGTAGTACACTGAAAATTAGACAGCAAAAGTATAGTCAAAAGATGATATGACAGCTTTATGTCATGTTCGTAGACAAGTCCAAATTTGCCACCAATTTCCCAAGGAGCTATTGACATCCTGTCAAAGGCTTAATCTGTTGACAATGGCTACAGTAAATACTGTGGTAGTTGACAGATCATGGCTGAAAAATTAATGGAAATGATTATGGAACTGTAAGTCTTTTTTTCTTTAATATTCACTTAAGAGAAGGGTGGCCTTTTAAAGACAATATTTTTAACTGCGGACCCTAATTTTCAAATCAAATCAAATTGATAATTGTTATTTACAACTGAAATTCGGCAAGGAAAAGTTGGTGTGCTTGGGAGACTTGTCAGACAATGAAATAGAAGTTAGGCTTCAATTCAGCTCAAAACCCAAGGTCTCAACAAGTTCCTTCTGTCTATATTGCTCAGTCTTAATTATAGTACAAACGTTTTTTTTGTTTCTATTAGCAGTCATACACTTTAGGAGGCCCAACTGCATCAACCTCAAAAGATTAATAATGGGTATCTTTAACTTAGTATAATCCAGAAAGGAAAATAAATTTTCCTTTTAACTTTTACTTAAACTGAATGAACAGAATAAATTCTGGACAGCTTTCACAATATCACAGAAAACCAATGATAAATACTGTATCTTGCATATATATACTGCATATCACATACTAATACATTTGACTATTTACTTCTATTTCTTCACAAAATCTTAAAATTCAGCAACAAATTGGTTGCATCTTATATTTCCTCTGTCTCTATCTTAATGTGCAAGACAGATTCTCTTTGCCCAATAATATTTATGATATTGAGTTAATATCCAGGTTATACAACTTAGAACAAATATTAAAAATATTGAAGCACTCTCTGCAGAGCC